TAGGCAATTACAATTAGAATTCCTAGTTTCCTACTAGTCTTCTAATTYCAYTTTTGTCTTCTCTTAAAATCTTCTATTCTCTAACTTAACTTGGTTGGTTCGCCCCCCTCAACTCAAGTCCTCAACTAATTCAAAGTTTATTCGGCTTTGTACAGGAGCAAAACCGAAACCGACCCAACCTGACTCAAACCGACCAGGTCGATTTGGCCTATCAATGGGTCGGTTTCAGTTCCCACCTCTGATAACCCAACTAGGTCGGGTCGGTTGGGAAAATCCCATGAAACCGACCCAACCCGACCCGTGAACACCCCTAATTTTGACCATCGAAGATTCAGCTGTAGCCAATAAACCTTCACATGATGGACTGACAGTCAATTTGAGTTATTTGGATTTTTTCCACCAAACATAACTTCATTCATGTGGGGTCCATTTCAAAAATCAAAAGGCACTGAGCTTCTCAGCTTCAGCCCTCCCAACTCCCAAGCCGGCACTAAATTCAACAGCCTGTACTGTCAAGTGTCAATAGGGTTTTTGGCTGACTTAGTACTCAAAAATACATTTTTGCCCTAAATACTTATAATTTAGCTTGAAAGGACAAAATGGATCAGTAGTTAGCAATAGCTGCTTGGTTTAAAGGATATATGGCAATGGGAGAATTCAGAGAAGGCATTACAAAATTTAGAACCTTCTCTTGCCTCCCAACCCTTACCCTCTTCAAAATTTATATGTAGCAGGTTTGGATATTTAGAATTCTAAATCTTCACCATACACGAAAAATCGAAAATGTAAAACCCTTCCCCACATTTAAGGGTGAAGCGGGTCAAATCCAAAACCCACATTTAATTTTTTATTATATATAAGCGATAAACAATCAAAATAATATTAACAATTATCAAAATTTCCAATCTTTTAATAGAAATATATAAAAACTCATATGAATTGGGTGAACAATACTCGTGATAAAGACCCCGGGCTTACAATTTAAAATGTATACAAATCGCTTGATATAGTAGTAATTTAATTATAAGCAAGTTTCAAAATATTGACATGTATCAGCCTATATTGATCGATATGTATTATTCTGGGATCTCTCCGATACGCCCCCACAGTGGATGTATCGGGGGTCTGACTGGTTCACGGGGTGGCGGAATCCTAAACCGGCCCCCCTGAACCAGTTGTGAAAGAAAAAAAAAGGCATCAAAAGCTGCATCGATTCACCTGATATGCCTATACCGACGTATCGAGTGTATCGATATTTTGAACCTTGATTATAAGTATTAGAGATATTTTACTAAATTTAATTTACAAGTCAAGGACTATGGAATTTAACCTAACTGCTGTGAAATATATATTATGCATATGTACAATTAAAGATAAAGATATAAATTAACAATGTATTATCAAAACCTTAGCAAGCATTGGCTTTATAATAATATAGATACTATGCCCTAACCATACCGTAGTGGCAGGTACCCTAGGACAGGGTGGAAATTAGCTAATTGCCATCCCTACTTAGTTTCGATATTTAGACCTTCAAACATGGAACAGACGGTCCAGGTTGATGTTTGGATCATAACGAACCATATGAATAAGCAACATCAATTTTAACAATAAGGTGCGTAACTCACCACATCAACAATAGATATTTGGTAGAGGTTAAACTATTATTGTATATTACACTATTGACTAAATTAATATACTTTTAGTATTTATTGTGTTTTCATAATTATTATATTCATTGTATATTTATTACTTATTTGTTGTATTTTCATTATAAATTTATTTTAAAAAATTGTATATTTTCGCTATAAATTCTCAATAATTTGTAGAGATTAAACTATTTGTATTTATTAGAGATTAGACTATTAATTTTGCTAAAATTAGGAGTGCTCATGGGTCAATTCGGTTCTATTGAAGGTTGTTTGGCCAATTAAGCCCGGCCCTAGCCCAACCCAATAATATTGTATATAGTAAAAAATATAATATATATTAATAATACATAAAATATATATTATATAATAATAATAAAATTAGTAGTGAAAATGTATTATTTATTATAATATATAGAATATTATAAAATATATAATATATTATTAATAATGTATAATGAATATAATATATAATATTTGTCTAGATCGGGCTTCGAGCTTGGGCTCAAGATCTAGGCCTAATGCTTAGGCCAGGCTTAGGCTCAAGCCTGGTCATTTTCTATTTATAAAGAGGAAAAGTTCGCCCCGGCCTACTTGTGTACAAGTCTACCTGAAACTAACTGAATTTTAAAATTCTCAATAATTTTAAAATATCTAAATATTTTAAATAATGAGATATTTAATATGACTAATTTTTAAATAGTTAGAATAACGAAATTATGTAATAAATTTAAAAAATTCTTACAAGTAGAAAAGTTAACTAGATTTCATAATATTTGAATTAATAATATAACAAAATTATATAATAATAGTATAAATTATAATTTTATAGATTATTAAATTCAATAAATAATTAATATTTTAAAAATATAAAATAAGTACATTATTGGAATAACTAAATAATATTGTAAATAACTAATTTTTAAATATGTTAAATATAAAAAAAATAATAACTAAATCATATTTTGAATATTAATTAAAAATAGATTAAATAAGGAAATTATGTAATAACTTTCAAAAAATAATATTTATTAATAATAATTTTGAAATATTTATCTATATATATTATATGTTTTCAATAATTATTGGAGATCAAAATATTATTATTTAAATTTTAAATTTAATTTATTGTACTTATTGGATTTTGTTATAATTTATTGATTAATATTTGTAAGAGATTAAATTGTTATTGGATATTTCACTATTTATTGACTAATTTAATATATTTTAGTATTTATTGTATTTTCATAATTATTGTATTCATTGTATATTTGTTAGTTATTTATTGTATTTTCATTATAAATTTATTTTCAACAATTGAGTATTTTTGCTACAAATTCTCAATAATTATTAGAGATTAAACTATTGATGTTTATTAGAGACTAGACTATTATTTTAGCTAAAATTAGGAGTTTTCATGGATCATTTTCAGATTGGTTGAAGGTTGTTTGGTCAACTAAACCAACTTGGTTGGGTTGGGGAGTTGGTCACTCGAAACTAGATGTTCATGGGTCAAGTAGCCCAATGGGTTGGCTTGGCTTGGTCCATTCTAAATTGGGCTTGGACAACACTTTAATCCCACAAGCTTAGGCTCGGGCTTTCCCAAATAAGCTCGTCCCAAGCCCGACTCGATAATTTTATATAGTAAAAAGATACAATATATATTAATAATATATAAAATACATATTATGTAATAATAAAAATAGTAGTGAAAAATGTATTATATATTATAATATATAGAATATTATAAAATATATAATATATCATTAATAATGCATAATTAATATAATATAAAATATTTGTATAGATTGGGCTTCGGGCTTGGGCTCAGGCCTTGTCATTTTCTATTTATAAAGAGGAAAAGCCCGACCCGGGATTACCCGTGTATAGGTCTACTCGAAACCAAGCGAATTAGTAAAACTCGACCAACTCGAGTTATATCAATTTGGTCAATCGACTCAAAAGATTTAAACTTAAAAGTTAATTTTAAATTTAAAAATGTAAAGCAGTATTATTAAAAAATAAATAAATAATTTAAACTAAGAAATATGGGAAATTTCCCACTTTTCGTATTAAAAATTATATTTAAAATAATATATTATATATATATATATAAAATAATATATATTATATATATATATATGGTCATGTCGATTTACAAATGGCCAAACCGAAACTGACTCGACCTAATCAGGTTGGAAAATTGCTAAACCAAAGTTGACCAAAAAATACTAGAAAATCCACCAACTAAAGTCAAGTTAGGTCGAGTTGATTGTTATTTTTTGTATTGCAAAAAAAATAAAAACATTATATAAAATATAAAATAATTATTAATTATTTAAAAAATTAAAATATAAAATAATTGTATATTCATATACATTTATATTGTTTAGCTCTCTTAACAACTTTTGCATCGCATAGGTCTTAAAAAAACCTTATGCATCACTGTCATACAATAAAAATGACGGGATAGCCTTACATTTTGGTGACGTGGCGGGAATCCGGCGTTTCAGTTCTCTTTGTGGGTCCTTCCTCTTTCAAACCATCGGTGATCTAACGCCTACCAAACTTACGTGATGTGATCTTTACTCCTCCTACAGTCGTGGGTGAGATCGAACTCATCACAGGTGAGACCACATATCATCTTCCCTCCACGTCAGCTAAGCGAAGCAGTTTTAGCTGAATTGCTTTAACTGAACTGCTTCGAAGAAATTATGGCGCCGTTTGGTGCATTTTTTTGCATGGTCTTTCGGATGTTAATAAGTTGGAGAGACCGAAAATTGGTCTATTCTTATTTGGCATATGGAAGATCTAACTGTCAAAAGATGCGGTGCTGAAAAGACATGCAAAACCCATTTTTGGCTAATTTCAGGAAGCTTCAAATAAAGCTTTTCACGTCTTTCACGTTTTAATCTTATACGAAAAGACCCAAAACGATACACAGAAAGTCATGCATTTGCCAAACGGTCTTCGGACTGCCCAGATCAAAAGATCAATGTATCTATCAAAACTACAAAAAGATCTTTTCAAAAAAAATTTACCAAATAGGCCCTATAAAAAAGCCACCTTTCCGAATTTTTTCTTCACTAACCACGTAAAGCCAAAAGCCGCCCCGTTAAAGCTCTTCATCGCTCTGGGAGCGAGTTGCTTCTCGGAAAGCTCTATGTATGAATGTATCTTTTTTTTTGAACTCTGGTACATAGTTATTACTTTAATTAATTCTTTGTTATTTTTACTTATTAATTAATTATCATTAACTTTCTTGTAACTAATGTCTCCGTTCCAACACACAGAACCTCTTCAGTCTTCTTTATACAGCCGCAGCTGCATATCTCTCTCTCTCTCTCTCTCTCTCTCTCTAAGAAAGAGAGCCAGAGAGCGGAGAGGTAAAGAGAGACAGATAGACCACGAATTCCTCCATTTCTTGTATTTTCTTAATTTCCAATTAAAATCGAAGAAAGAAAGAGAAATTCAAAAAAGTGACAGAACCCAGTTCTCTTTGCTCTTTGCTCTTTGCTCGCTTTCTCTGGTTGTCTCTTCTCTCAGGCTCAGATCAACTTCTGATTTCTCATTTCAACCCCAGAAAAGCTAGCTAAATACCAACTTAAAAGGAGATCAGAGGGATACCCAAAACCATTTCAACAAGCACTATTTCTCTCTCAGTTCGTCTTCTCTCCCTAACACAACAGGAAAAGGAACGAGAAGAATGAAATGAAGAGATTGAAGAATTATCTGCACATGAGGCAATCACCAAACATGGAGAGAAAATGGATCTTCCCCTTGGCCATTGGCTCTTTAGTCTCGCTCTTCCTTCTATTCCTTACCACCTTAACATCTTCAGATGGACTTCTGTTCTTACCACTTTACCACTCATCCACTGTCTCCGACTCTATCTTCATCGAGTCCAAGCTCCATCCTTTGCCAGTCTCCTCCCTCCCTCCCCCACCTCGCCTCGCCTACCTCATCTCTGGCTCAGTCGGCGACGGTGAAATGCTCAAGCGTACCCTCCAAGCTCTCTACCATCCTTTCAACCGCTACGTCGTTCATCTAGACCTCGAATCCTCTCCCCAGGAACGTCTCGATCTCCACGACTACATTAAGAATCATCCCGTCTTCTCCTCTGTCGGCAATGTGTGGATGATTACCAAAGCTAATCTCGTCACTTACAGGGGCCCTACCATGGTGGCCAACACTCTACACGCCGCAGCCATCTTGTTGAAGAAGGGAGGCGACTGGGATTGGTTCATCAATCTCAGTGCCTCTGATTACCCCCTCGTTACTCAGGATGGTCTGTTGTTCTTGGATTCCTTTCCTTTTTAAGGGTTTTGGTTTTCACTTTGTTATTTTTTGCATTTTCTGATAAACGAGTTTTGGTTTATACATTTCTTCTTTCGGGTGGTTAGATCTGTTGCACACATTTTCTCATTTGCCACGGGATCTCAATTTCATCGACCATACGAGTGATATTGGGTGGAAAGAGTAAGTGAATCTCCCTTCATTTTCTTTACCGTAAAAAATAAAAAATAAAAAAGCTGTTTTTGCCTGGATGTCTGTGTAAGTTGGACGTGGTTCTTGCTTAGGTTTCAACGAGCAAAGCCAATTATCATAGATCCTGGGCTTTATATGACGAAGAAAGCTGATGTTTTCTGGGTTACCCAGAGACGAAGCGTTCCAACTGCCTTCAAACTCTTTACAGGTTCGATGCTGTAACTTGTTTATTTTTGTTTTGATTTTCACTTGTAATTCATTGTAATTGCAGTACTTTCTCTTTTCTTTCTTTCCCTTCTTTTTTTGCTCTTTCTTCCTCTGTTCTGCCATTCTCAAATCACCATTTCATCAGTCTTCTTGTTCCATATTCCATGAGGATAAAGGCTTCATTTTGGTGTCTTGAAAATTTACATCTTTTTCCTCCACGTTATATACTCCAGCGGAACTAATTCTTTTGTTGTCTGTGAAAATGAAGAACTTAAAGTAATAATGCTCAAGTCCTTGTGTTTTTCTTTTTCACATGTAATAGGCAATGAAATCTTTGAAAATCACTGACAGGCGATCCTTTTTTCCCCAAATGGGGATATAAAATAGACATGAATTAATAACAAAAGGAATAATCTAGAACAAGTAATATAAATATGCATCTCATAGATTTCAACTTATTACTTTTAATAGGAATAGGAGCTACATTCTTTAACATTCGCACAAAATGCATATCTTGGAAATCAGAGAATATCGTAATTTTGTTTGAAGGCTTGCGGAATCCAAACTTAAGCAGAAATTTGTTGAAACAAAAATAGAACCTGAGGAGGAATTAGAAAATTTCACTACTCTTGCAAAGAATGCAAGTTATGGAAGAATAATAGGAATTCTATAACGTACTGAAGTATCTTTCCTGCAACTACTTCCATGGTAATAGGTTTAGTATGGCCAAAGTCCAGTATCATGTGGAGCTAATCTAATATTATCATTTGCAATACTTATAATCTGTTTCATGAACATATATAAACTACCCTCATTTCTTGATATTTGTTTAACAAAACTTCTGCATATACAATATTATGTCTTACAATCAATATTGCATTAGTAAGCTTGCATCGCTTGAAAGGTGAATAAAGAACTTTATTTTGTTGAAGCATAAACTGCTTTTGAACCTTATTGACAAGATATGACAATGGTCTTTATTTGAAAATCTTTTTGAAGTAAAAGTGTAAAGTATTTCATTAATAATTTGAAAACCATCTGGAAGAATGTATTTTTTCACCTTTTAGATATTGGTATGATGATATACTTAGAGGAGCCTTCCTGTAAGCTACCTTGAGTTTATGAACAAGGGGGCATGGATTGTTTATGAGAAATATTGTGTTGCATCATAAATTAGAGAAATATTCTTGAAATGGAATCTATGTGCTTTTCATCACTTTATACTGATTTGTTATTTCCACTATTAATAAAAAACAAAGTTTCCCTATTACCCCTTCACAATCAATGGCCTCTGAATTATCAAGCTTGGAATTGAAAGTGAAATTTCTACCAGAATAAAGCAGTAACTGATGGAAATCAATGGTTTGATTCTTGTTTATCATTTGAAAGAAGCCAAGTGAATTGGATACTTGTTCATTGTCAAAGAGAAGCAATGCCTTTGAGAATCTTGTAGACAAGCACTAGAGGTGTATTTATAACATATTTTGGTGCAGTAAAACATATATGTCTGTTTATTCTCTGGTGTGTGGTATTATTCTGATTATATATGAAGTCCAACATCTAGGCATAGACCCAAAATAACAAGAGTCTCAGATTCATTGGTCTCTTACTTGGGATCTTACAGTTAGTACCAGAAACTTGTGCTGGAATCACACATAAACCACAATGTGGTTATGCTGTGTTGACCTGCAAAGTGTCAAAAGCAAGAAAACAGTACCTTCAAGATCCTTTAGGTGTTTTCCAGTCATAATGGTTCTTGATGTTATGTGGCAGAGTTGGGCATGACCATAGTCACAGCTTGTGACTTTTAATGGGAACTATTGGATACGGTTTCTTGGCTCCACTTATTGAAGAAATGCATGATGCCTTGGTGTGATTGGTAGTAGATAACCTCACTGGGCGCAAGCTGAAATATCATAGCCATGAACCAACCAATGCTGTAGAAAAGGAGTCTTGCAAAAACACAAAGAGAAATTTTAAGATGGTCTACCATTACCTGCATCCTTAATTTAATTTTACATTCTTTGCCCAACTACTTGGAAACAACCTCTCCGTGTACCTGCAGGGATAAGGCTGCATGCATCTGTCCCTCCCCAGACCCTGCATTGGTAAGAGTCTTGTGCACTGGGCTGCCCTTTTTTATTCTTGGCCAACCATTTCATGCCAATATTGGATTTGGAGTAAATAGAAATAGAAACGGAAGTACATCTGGGGACCTGGGGACTCCTATCAGTAGATTTGGAGCTTGAAGGGGTCAGTAAAAAATGTAGTTTACATTAGGAAATTGTTGAACACGGGGACATTGATAAGATGATTTTTGACTTGTAATGTGAATGTCTTTCCTATTCAGGAAAAGAAATGGCATATGCACTGATTAGGCCTCCCTGGTGTCAGAACTATGAAGTCTCAGCAGCACAGATGGCTGAGAAATGCAATTGCTCTTGTGGTTGCTCTGCATTGTTCAAGATACATATAATCCGTCCTAATCATTGATGAAATTTGATAAAATATAATACCACAGACTTTCACTGAACTTAAATTGAATGGTTTTTCATGTAAATATATTTCTTTGTTTCCAAGTTCATGTGATAGTACTTTATAGTTTTTTTTTTTATCAATATGATAGTACTTTATAGTTCCCAAGGTATGGATACATTTTCAATTAGCAAAATGGATTCTTAAAGAAGGTTGGCTATAGTATTAAAGAAAAACAGGTTAAATTGTAAGGCATCAATACTATATATCTTAAAATATCTAAGCCTTTTTTATGTTTTAGATTAGTTGCCTGTACTGGTTCCTTAGCTTCCTTTAGTTGGGCTCATAATTGGAAGCAATTTGTTCTTCCAATTTCTTGACATTTAAGGAATTTTTCCATCTATTATGGTTGATCCAAAAATAAATAATTAAATAAAACATCATGATATCCATCTTATGAGATATATCTATCATTTCTATTATGTATGTACTAGTGTTTGATTTTTTTTTTTGATCAGTAAAAGAGGATTTTTTCTGCAGTCCAGAGTATAGCAAAATACAGAGGTCCCAGATTACAAGGATCATCTCCCATCTGTTTTAACACAGCCAGCTATAGTTTTGCCCAAAATGGTGAAGGCCTATCAACTCCCTGTTTTGCTAGTGTCTGCCAATCCTTTGCTGTCCTTTTAACCCACCCAATACTAGTGTTTGATTTTCCCCGTTTAGTAGGTTGAAATATCATTTGAAATACATTAAATATTAGCAACAACATTTGTTTCATGGAGAATATGATTGTTTTGGATTGCAACTTAAAGGGGGGAAGGGGCAAGTTATGGACTCTTTATTTATCTCTAGTTTTGTTGTGAAAAAGTAGAAGCAAAAGTAACTTTTACGAGGTTAATCTTAAGGAAAAGTCCATTGCCTTGAATTTAAGAATAAAAATAAATGGTTTATCGAAGGAAAAAAAGAAGAAACAGACAAACAGACAAAAATCTTTAGTTCTCCACCATTAGTGTTTGACCTCTCTGAAGATTGATTTTGGATCCAAAAGTCCATTGCCTTGAATTTAAGAATAAAAATAAATGGTTTATCGAAGGAAAAAAAGAAGAAACAGACAAACAGACAAAAATCTTTAGTTCTCCACCATTAGTGTTTGACCTCCCTGAAGATTGATTTTGGATCCAAAACTTCCTTTAATCGGCCTATCTGAAAGCTTAATGATCATGACTGTTATAATGGATTCCTTTCTGTATGATCTCTTTAGTTTTGTAAGTGGACCATGTGCGGTTGCTGAATTACTTAATTTTGTAATGATGAGATCAGGAATTTGATCCTTGATTGTTGATCTTTGGGTTTGTGTCATCCTAAATTATGGTGTAGATGCTACTGACCTATGGCATAACGAACTCTAAGTGTTGTTGAATATCCTTCCAAATTAGGATATAGATGCCTTATTCTTGAGCCAGTATCATGTGGCCAGTAAGGGAATCAATGGATTGGTTTTGGATTGGACCCCGTCCAGTTCAAAATCAATTTGGACAGACCAACAAGACATATTGGATTGGACCAATCTGGTCCAAAATATTTATTAGATTGGATTGGACCTGGTCCGTCCGTAACAAAATTATATTGGATTGGGTTGGATTAAGCCAATATCTGGTCCATTGTTATAAGATAAGAACATATGTGTCAATGGACCGGGTTTGGGTTGAAACCTATCTAAATCAAAATGGATTTGAACAGATTGGATGGTCCAGACATTGGATTGGACCGGTCCAAATTGGTCCAAAACATTCATCGGATTGGATTGGACCTGGTCCATTTATAATGGACTCGCATTGGACTGGATCGAATTGGACCAAATCCAGTCCAATTGACACCCCTAGTGGCCAGGTCCAGAGAGCAAACCTATGCGCAGGCCTGGAAATTTGCAGGTGGATGGACCAGGTTAGCTAGGAATGACCACCCCTGCATTTACTTGTGTCCAAGTTGACATAGGCAGCCAACATTTGGTTGATTGATGTCTCAATAGTGTCAGACTTGCTCCGGTGCTCTCTTGTTGGGACAGCTAGAAATAAGAACATGTAGTAACCTTAATATAATAGACTACAACCTCCTACGTTTATGGAAACAAGCAGTCTATAGCCTTGGATGTCTATAGTTCTGACCTGCACCTCTTTATGATCAACTTAAACAATTCCAAATTTCTCCTGTGGGTTCCCCGCACCCCGCTAACCATGGTCTTTCTATATAATGAGGTCATTTTGATGAACAAGATGCTCCTCCATTATTCTGTACAGAAGATGCCAATTTTCTTAAATTGAAGAAAAAAGATTTTTATAGCTTGAACTTTTAAGCCATTGTAAAGGGATATTCTTTGTGTTGAAACCATGATAGGTTCCAATAGCATCCTATTTAGCTCCCTGGAAAAAGAGATAAAATGAATTTGGTTACTTTTGTGGTGGTTTTTCTGTTATTGATCAGCTTGAATGGTACATTAACTTTGAATTTTGCAGTGCACTGGAACAAGCAATAGCATGAAAAATTGGTTCAGTGTCGGTGATCATGGTTATTACAACTATACAAGTAGTGGTTTCCCATATTTAAACATGTGGTTTAAGTTCTCATGGCTCCATTTGGGAAGAGTACAAATTTGTTCAGTACAAATACATATATGCAGAGCTCCTACACAGGCTCCATTTGTGCTCTTCTCAAACGGAGTGTATGGGAAAAGCTTTGTTGTTCCTGGTTGTTTTGAATGGTTATGTTGTCCCACATTTAAACAAGTTGAAGGAATTAAAGGAGAAGCACGGGGAGCATAAAATTCACCAGTTTCATGTTGTAGATGTTCTATTGAATTGTTTAATGCTTACCTTGATCCATGAGTCTGCCTTGTAATGACTTGGGCTTTTCATGTTTTCTATGACAGGCTCTGCCTGGATGGCACTTTCTCGGCCCTTTATTGATTTCTGCATATGGGGATGGGATAACCTACCACGGACTGTCCTCATGTACTATGCAAACTTCATATCCTCCCCAGAAGGCTACTTTCATACTGTCATCTGTAATGCTCCGGAGTTCCGTAATACCACTGTTAACAGTGACCTGCATTTCATATCATGGGACAATCCCCCCAAGCAGCATCCCCATCACCTTACCCTCAATGACATGTCAAGGATGATAGAAAGCAATGCCCCATTTGCTAGAAAGTTCCATAGAGATGACCCAGTCCTCGACAAGATAGATGCTGAGCTTTTGTCCCGAGGCCCGGGCATGCTTGTTCCAGGTGGATGGTGCATGGGGAGCAGGAAAAATGGGAGTGACCCATGCTTGGTTGCGGGGAATTCCACAGTCCTCAGACCCGGTTCCGGTGCAAAAAGGCTGGAAACTCTAGTCGTCTCTCTGTTATCAGATGATAATTTCCGGCCAAGGCAGTGCAAGTAATATGAGCTCAGTTGAGGAAATACATCTGGTGCCAGCCTATTAGTTCACATCACATTGGATGCATGGCATTGCCATCGTGATCAGGTAAAGGTTATGAGGGGCTCTCAAGTTGATTGGCAGCAACAAGGCAGAGTAAGGGAACTGCTACTCTTCTGCTAGAATAATGTGAGATATGGTACTGAAAGCATTCACCTGGTGCTGCCGATCTGCTGAGTCCTTGTTTCTTATACTCTCCCACGAATATATATAAAAGAACCAAAACCAAAAAGATTTTTGTTTGTAATCGTTGATCTTCAGGCATTGATTAATGTTATGAAATGCTGCTGCCGTGCTGATGGGAAGGGAGAATGTGCAGTTTTTACTGCCAAACATGAAGAGAAAAAGATGGTGGATGAATACAAATTTTAAGTAACGGTACTATTTGGCCTAGTGGAGAATTGCATTCACACTTTTGCACCAGTACAAATGAGGAATTTTCCTTGAGACTTGAGAGTACACGCAATTATCATGTTTACAATCTTCACTAGGGGGTGCAACTCACTCAGGTTGGCCCGAGTTTGCATTTTACACTGCTTTGGGCTCGGGCCTTTGGGCCAGGCCCATTCAAATTTTGACAAAATCTCAACCCATTCAAATCTCGACTATTGAAAACCTAGTTTTGTTTTTTCCACTTCCAAAAATCCTCATCCCCAATTTTAGTTGTTCCGAAAGTGAAGTATATTTATTCATATTCTTTTATTTCCCAGGTAAATAAAACAATGACCATTTTAGTCATAAAAGTCATTATTAAAAGGTATAAGTTAGTCCCATTCAAGTGTTGGTATATCTGGAAGATGGGGGTAAGTGATATCCAGGGAAAATAATTTTTTCATGAACTCCACCTAAATCTGAGAAAAGAGCATGGTATCTCAGTCAATAAAAATCAAAATTCCATTAACCAAAATTTTCTCTCTCAAAATCCAGAAAACAAACAGATCTTTAAACAGCAAACAACTAACGGCATTTAAAGGGTGGAGCTGTCACCGTAAGCAATGTGTTGGGTTTCAGGTTGAAGATCCATGAAGTGATCTTGGTGGAACGGCATCCGAAAGTCCGATTTCATATTTCAGACTCGATATAATCAAATTCAATTCGGGCCATTCAGTAATTCTGGATTTGAACATGAGACTGATATAAGCACGTAGCCTGATTTGATTTATAAATATTTAAATCAATTATTAGTATTAACATACACACATAAGATTATTTAAATACGCTTTATTTGTCTTGACTACGATGAAGGGGTAAAATGGTAAAATAATTCAATTAGATCGGAGTCATACTTCGGATATTCAAATTAATTGGTCGACTTCAAATCAAATTTGAATATTTGAATGCCATATCAAATTCGAATTCAGTCGTCCTCTTTAAGAATCCGTCGGATATCAAATCGGATTCGGATCATCAGTTTCTTCCGAATTCGGATAGACGGATACCACTTCGAGTTGGCGAGTTGGCTCAGTTCTCACATCAGATTTAGCGGGGATCCTTTGCTGTATTCCTAATTTGAACCCACCTCACCTTCGAGCGTGTAAAGACAGGACCGTGGATTTACGTGGCACTGGGATCGTGGATTCGTGGTGGCGTCCCTCCTTCGATGAAAACCGTTTGATTAGCACTTCTTAAGTTCTTATGAGATTGATGCGGCGCTCCGCTACAGTACAACAATGTATTTCCAAATCCATCCACGCACCGACTCTTCATTAATTCCTTATTGGATTCGGAGTTCGGAGAATCGGCGCTCAGAGTTCAGACACCAAGCACTAACAAGAATTTCCAAATCCCCGGCACTGACTTCAAATCCGTGTACGCTTTCCACTTCCACTGCACTAACAAGTATAGTTTCTATATTGCATCGATCCACAGTCCACAGTTCCATTCTTCCATGTTGAATTCGGAAACTAATTTCCAAATCCGTGTCTTCCACTAACTAACTGTTCCACAATGAACCTCTTTTCTATTTTAAACATGTCGCTCTGTCTCTGTTTCTCCTCACTGTATTAATCGTCTTGTTTAAAATTTGGGAGCGAGTTAATCGATTTACTCTCTTGCGTTGTATCAAATTTTAGTGTATTCCGTAAGAAAATATAATCCAGGATGTTTGGCAGTTCTCATGGATCGGATTCATCATTGGCGACTCTCCTGTTCTTATGGGCATGGCTTCCCAGTTTATCAATCTATCTCCCATACAGCGACTGATATCGAAGATTAAATCCAAGCTATTCCCCCACATTCAGATTAACATCCCCGAGCAATCTCGTAATGTATACTACCGTAACAAAGTATACTCCTCCGTCGAGACCTATCTCTCCGTCCCCACCTCTGAGAAGTCTTGCAAGCTCAGAGCCTACACTGACAGTACCAGCAAAAAGGTTGCCCTCAGCATGGATGACTACGAGGAAATCACCGACGTCTTCAACGGCGTTGCCTTCACGTGGTGCTACTACAGCTACACCGTCAAAGGCCAGCGAAGTGGTTGCGCACCTGTCGGCGGCAACGAGAAGAGATACTACGTCTTAACCTTTGAGCGTAGGTACCGCTCCCACTTGAACCCCTACATGCACCACATTATGGAGACCTGCCGTGCCATAGAAGCCAAGAACCGTCAGCGGAAGCTCTACACCAAATTCTATGAATGTTGGGGACGATGGTTGGACGAGCGTCGTCTTCAAGCACCCGGCCACGTTCGATACCTTCGCTATGGAGGCGAAGAAGAAGAAAGAAATCATGGATGATCTTGTCACGTTCAGTCAGAGCAAGGACTACTATGCCAAGATTGGTAAGGCCTGGAAGCGAGGATACCTTCTTAACGGTCCTCCTGCCACAGGGAAGTCCACGATGATTGCCGCCATCGTCAATTTGTTGGACTACGACGTCTATGATCTCGAATTGACGGCAGTCAAGTCCAACACCCATCTACGTAATCTGCTAGTTGAAACCACCAGTAAGTCCATTGTAGTAATTGAAGATATTGATTGCTCGCTTGACTTATCCGGTGATCGAAAACTCAAAGATGAGAAAGATGGTGGGGATCGGAAAACTAAGAAAAAGAAGAATGAAGATAGTAAGATGACTCTCTCTGGCCTACTTCATCAACGGTCTGTGGTCGTCGAGTGGAGGGGAGAGGATCATCGTGTTCACCACCAATCACGTAGACAAGCTTGACCTGGCGCTTATAAGGAAAGGACGTATGGACATGCACATCGAGCTATCTTATTGCAGCTTCGAGGCATTCATGGTGCTTGCCAAAAATTATCTAAATATCGATGCACACCCACTGTTCGAGACCGTGCAACAGCTGTTGGAGGAGAAGCAGATAACTCCGGCCGACGTTGCAGAGCAGCTGATGCCCAAGACAACCGACGCTCTTGCAGACAAGGCCACGGCATTTCTTCAGGAATTAATCGAAGTGCTTGAGAAATGTCCTAGCAGAGAACGGGAAAAAGGATAAGAGTGGTATTAGCGATCATCTTAATTAGGGATTGCTTAATTGTCAGCGTCAGGAATCTCGTTGTTATACAGTTGTTACATTCTGATACTAGTTTCCTTTATCTTTTCTTATATTTCGGTTAGACAGGGATTTGTAGGTTACGGTTTGGAAATTTTGGGATTTACTTAATCTATTAAATTCAATCTCCAAGTCCATCATATATGTTTAAAATAGATGAATATGCAGTTTCTGTTCATAATCCCTGGATCAAATCATACACCAATATATCTGATTAGCAGAAAATAAATAATTCTACAAGTGACCCTTGTATGATTTTACTATTCAAAATTCAGCGTCGACGGACTCCCTGTTAAAAAATATAATCCACTTGTGAAATGTCTTCTGAAAGAAGTTGCTCGGATGGGTTTTTCAGTAAACTCAGAATTTGATAGAGCTAGGGTTAAGTGTTCGACTCTTCTAGTTGGTTGTAGCCGGTTAATGGTAATTGATCCCAATTTACAGAGCCATGCAAACCAGTAAAATTGTGTTTGATTTGTAATTTGTAAAGGTAACAGCGTTGTTGTTTTGTATTTAAATGGAATTGGGTTTTGTGGAATAGGTCAGTATTGTAAGTTCTCTTTGCCTCATTATGTCTTGTAAGGGTACTCAGGTTAAGAAAATAGTGAGTCTAACCATGAATAAGAAACAAGTCCTCCATCAAAGATGAGATTCTTTCTGGCACGGGTCGCCCTTTGGCAGTAAACCCTTTAATTTACTCTGTAGCTTTAAATATAAGTTGTCCTCGAATAATAATCAAGTAAGTCTCACTACCTATTTGTTGTTTATATTTTCATGCTTGCTTTGTTTACATTTAGCAGAATCTGAACAATCTCTGAAGTATTGGCATATATAAAAGAACTAAATTCAAGTGCTAGTTATATTACTAGAGATTCAGATTCAGATGGGAGATCTTATGGGGCTTTTGCTGCTGCGGTTCCCCCAGTTGGGGTCTTATATCATGAGCTTCCAGCCATCAAGTTCGGGCTGCGTGAAGCAAGAGAAAAGGGGGCTAACTAGAATTTGTGTTCAATCACTCCCAGTTTGCTATTATCTCTCCGAACCATCTTTTCTCTTGACCGAGGAAGGTCTGCTTGTAGACGTTAAGCTTTTGTCGTTTTTTTGACGAAATTTCTTTCGTGCATATTTTTAGGGAGGGAAACAGAGCTGCTGGCTTTCTATCTAGTGTATTTTGTTGATATAAATGAATCCAAGTTCTCTCCTTAAGTTATTGTTCTGGTTTAGCTGTCCCGGATTGATTGGGACTTGGGACTTGGAACTTGGGAGGATGGTCATGGTTTCTGGGTGCTTCTTTTGTAAAGCTTCTTCTGCTTATCTCCCCCCCCCCCCAACAACGGGTCTATGCAATTTTGGGACTTAGGAGTTGCAGGAATTACATGCCTGACTTTTGTACAGTAATTCATGATTCTATCTTTCCAGACCTTGGGGCCACGCCACGTGTTCTTTCTCTCTGCAACCAAAAATAACAGACAGAAAACAGAGCCAAAGGACAGCTTTCTTTGCAATCTCGTGAGCAAATTTAAAATTTTGAGGTTGAAAAATCCCAGAAACCAAGGGGAATATAATTTATAGTAGCTGGTGAAGGAAGAAAGATGCTTGATCATGTTGCTGACCAACTCTAGTGCTTGCGTCAATTAAATTCACCTTTATTTGCCCTGCTAGCACTTCCAGCTAGACTGCTTGCAAGGGCAGAGTTGGACCAGACCGGATGGGTTGGACCATTGTAATTAAAATTGTTTTTAATCTGCTCAATTCTCAGAAATCTACTTCAATTAAATTACCTCTATTACCATCTGCTTTAACCAATCTTCTCAATCCTATCCATCCTTGACTGGGGCACTTTGGACCAGTACGTAACATGGTGATCCAGTCATGGATCGATATCCATGACTGTTCAATCCATGCATGG